ATCGCTGTGTTCAGTTATTTAAATTAGAGGACATTTTAATGTACCGTCTGCAGTTATCGCTAAGAAGCTCTGCGTTTTGCCCGAGCAGGGCTCTCTACTCTATGATCCTCACAATAAATAACAATTATTTACGTAAGCATTTTTAACAGCTTTGCCTTTGTAACTGATTCTCTGTATGTTTTTTGTGAGGCAGAAACTGAATTCGACAAGAATTGCTCCAGTTACTCATCGAGCCCAAATTGGCAATTGACCCGTATGGCGTTTTGTACATGAGTTTGAGTGCATAAGAGAGCCGTAGGCGAGATTCGAAGTTCCGTCTTCTGAAACGAAATAGACTATCGTTGCGAAGTTTCACATTTACATATCAAAGTGTAATACAGGTTTTCATTGCTGCCAACCTTAGCATTTGTGTCAGTTCCTGTAAGGACTGATTGACTCCTTCACGGTTAGTAATCCTTCATCTGATCAGTAAATTCCCCCTCTTTTAAGTGCCTCGAAGTTTCATTACCGTGTTCTCTGGTTTGCCCAAAGTCAGACGAATCCATTACACTATTTATGTTAGCGTTATCCTTCCATATACTTCTAGGTCTTCCAAGCGGCCTTTGACTTTCAGGTATTTTCAGCTGTAATTGTGTATGTATTTTTCGTCTCTTCCGCATGCTCTACACGCCCCAGCCATTCACTCTTCTCTCTCCATGTAATAACCTGCATTGGTCCAGAGGTAACAGTTCCCAATTGAACATGTTCGTCCGCCTCTTCCCTTATCAGTTATCCGCGCATCGAGATGCGTTTGAATGGAAATCGGAAATAACACACATCGCCTCTGTGAGTCGCCTCGCTTTCCCGTTTGTACGCAAGCGTAAAGATCATTATGGGAGACTTACTTCTGTCAGACAAAAAAATGGGGATGAACAGGAAAGGAAGGTCCATTTTGAGCGCTCTACCCTCTGAGATAGTGCAGAAACTCATCTGCAGGACAGGAAACACATAACGTAGATCCTTTCTTTGCTTCTGACTTGTGCAGGGAGATAAAAGTGGAAAAAGTCGACATGTCACATAAGGAGAGGTCCTTGAATATATCCTGAAGCATGCAGTTTTCAGTAATCTATATATATATTTCAGTTCGTACCTCACAGGAAATATTACGTCTCCGCTACAGAGCCCAACCGGTTAATGCTGTTTAGGGAAACAGCCGCTGTTTATTGTGAGAACCGCACGGAACACACAGATACACTCTGTGGGCAGAATGCAGATTTTTAGTATGTTGAGTCCGTACCTCACAGGAAACATTACGCCACTTTAAAGCCCAACCGGTTCATGCTGTTCAGGGAAACAGTCACTGTTTATTGTGAGAACCATACGGAACACACAGATACACTCTGTGGGCAGAATGCAGAGTTTTAGTATGTTCAGTCCGTACCTCACAGGAAACATTACGTCTCCGCTACAAAGCCCAACCGGTTAATGCTGTTTAGGGAAACAGTCGCTGTTTATTGTGAGAACCATACGGAACACACAGGCACACTCTGTGGGCAGAATGCAGAGTTTTAGTATGTTCAGTCCGTACCTCACAGGAAACATTACGTCTCCGCTACAAAGCCCAACCGGTTAATGCTGTTTAGGGAAACAGTCGCTGTTTATTGTGAGAACCATACGGAACACACAGATACACTCTGTGGGCAGAATGCAGAGTTTTAGTATGTTCAGTCCGTACCTCACAGGAAACATTACGTCTCCGCTACAAAGCCCAACCGGTTAATGCTGTTTAGGGAAACAGTCGCTGTTTATTGTGAGAACCATACGGAACACACAGATACACTCTGTGGGCAGAATGCAGAGTTTTAGTATGTTCAGTCCGTACCTCACAGGAAACATTACGTCTCCGCTACAAAGCCCAACCGGTTAATGCTGTTTAGGGAAACAGTCGCTGTTTATTGTGAGAACCATACGGAACACATAGGCACACACTGTGCATGCAGAAAACAGAGTTTTTTGTGTTAAAGTGGGTGGTGCATATTTCAAACACTGTGCTTTAAAGAGTTAATCGGGTTCTTACAAATCCCATTTGCGAACCAAGTAAAAGTAACGTAAAATTGTCCTTTTACTTAAATACTGTGGCATGAAGATATGTGGGGGAGTGGAGGTATAGCTCCATTATCGACCTGGGCACCAGTTGGAGATGAGTGGTCAGCATCACGCTCCGTCCGCTTTATGACCAGAGATAGAGCCCGTCACGCTATAAGAATAATATTCATTGAAGATTACTAGCTGTGGGCTTTAATAGTGGTTAACTTTTGGTGTTAATTCAGTTCTTTGGTGTGTCGACGTTTCGGAGATACACACTGCCTCCAACTTAATGATCTATGTGTACAGAGTGGGCCAATTTCTGTTATTTTACAGCTCTCCCATTCCACTCTCTCTACTGGCCTAGAAGGGACACCAACCCCCACTATCCTACATGGTATTCTCGAAACACAAACATGTATAAACCCACAAACTCACACTGCACATTTGACCCTGAAGATGGAGGCATAATATGCCTTCAAAATGTCAGCGTCAAATTCCTGAAATTTACTTTTCCTAGTTACCGCACTGAGAACATGAAATCCAACATTGTTATGTTAGACTCTCATCTGCATTTTGGCACTCAAATTGTCTCCCTTGATGTTTCCCTGCAAAAACTATGCAAGCATTTCTGATGTACCGTTACTTCTTGCAAGTCAAGGATTGGGTGCTAGTGCGCATTCTTCTGTCCAGAAATTCCGAAACTGACCTCTGCATATACTTCTTTGGCTCTTCTTAATGAAAATGTGAGTTCCTTGCTTTCAGCTGTTAAATAGTTTCGTCACTTGGTGCAGAAATTCAACTAGCATTGGGCGCAATTTTGCTATTGTTAATCTGTTTCGTGAGGGTCAGATCAATACTGGGCCCAGACATCCTGTCTCTCTTCTGTGGTCAACGAACTCAGTTGAACTCTTTCTCTTCTGGAGGTAAAAGTGGCCTTGCATTCATCATAATATTGATGATATGGATGGTGATACTTATGGTGACAGTCCGACTGATGGCGCCCTTGGGGGGAGGGGGGCAAGTGCGTAGCTGGTGGGCGCACTGAAGGAGATCAAGAGTTGCAGAAAAGGAAAAGAGGCAAGTGGTTAAGGGGCAGGGAGACGGGAGGATATTGGAGAGCCATAGATACGGACAGGGCGGCCTTCCCGCTTATTTGCAAATAATTAAGATATATTAATATCATAACAATATGTCGTAGCGTCCTGTTGCACATTGCTTTTCTTATTCCTTTTAGTTAGTCATCTCACATGTGACTTACTTTTAAAGTATTTGAAAGTTTTGAACGTTAGAATCTCTTCCAGATCACTGGTGTGTGCACACTGCAGGTTTCGACCGATGTTGGGGTGCATACACTAGTGATGTACGAGTAGAAGAGATTTTAAAAATTTTGAACTTTTAAAGGTTTAAAAAAGCAATTTGGATATGATATGGCTAAGAGGAATAAATATTAATATACAAAATTACAATTATTTTTTAAATGCATTCCTCTATCATGAATTCTTTACGACAGTAAGAACAGCATTAAAAACGTGAGTTTGCAAGTAAATTGTCTGGCTGTCCCGCCCTTGGAATGTTCCTGGCGGCTGCTACGAAGAGCAACGACATGAAGAAGAGAGAAACATGGGGAAGTGAAGCAAGAAGATGGATATAAATACATACATTCTCGTAGACCGGCGACTTCTGGGTTATGACACCATCTTGTCTTATAAGTGGTTACCAGCGTTTAAAAGTAATTTTCTGCTTCCATCTTCAGGAAGACGTTTACAGCAACATGGTCCTCACAGATGTTGGTAATATCTTAGGCGACTACACGGTGCCATAACAAGAAGATCACAATCAAGATTTTGTGTGCCGTAAAAATATCAAGTCTCATACGAAGGAAAAGTGTTTTAAGAAACTTCTTCATTCTGCCCTCACAGTGCATTTGTGTGTTCCGTATGGTTCTCACAATAAACAGCGACTGTTTCCCTGAACAGCATTAACCGGTTGGGCTCTGTAGCGGAGACGTAATGTTTCGTGTGGGGTACGGACTGAACATACTAAAACTCTGCATTCTGCCCTCACAGTGTATCTGTGTGTTCCGTACGGTTCTCACAATAAACAGCGACTGTTTCCCTAAACAGCATTAACCGGTTGGGCTCTGTAGCGGAGACGTAATGTTTCGTGTGGGGTACGGACTGAACATACTAAAACTCTGCATTCTGCCCACAGAGTGTATCTGTGTGTTCCGTATGGTTCTCACAATAAACAGCGGCTGTTTCCTTGAACAGCATTAACCGGTTTTGCTTTGTAGCGGAGACGTAATGTTCCCTGTGAGGTATGGACTGAACATACTAAAACTCTGCATTCTGCCCACAGAGTGTATCTGTGTGTTCCATACTGTTCTCACAGTAAACAGCGACTGTTTCCCTAAACAGCATTAACCGGTTGGTTTTTGTAGCGGTGACGTAAAGTTTCCTGTGAGGTACGAACTGGATTTCTGAATTCTATCGAAATGAACACTATTCTTCAGAGAGATAAGGACGGAACAAGATCGAATATATAAAGAAGGTAACGCAGAAGAGAGACAGAAGATGTAATGATGGATGAAAGAAGTGTAGATGCAAAGGCCACTTGTAACTAATGGTAGCACTGGCGCTTTTCAAAGGACATTTTGATGAAAGGAACTCCGAATCCTTTATAAGATTCTCTCGTGTCATTATTTTCCCTGCGACCCGGTACTGACGGTGATGTCGTGGTGTGAGTACAAGTCCTTACTCTCGGCGCAAGCTCGGAAATCTGCTTTGTGATGGATATGCTTTGAGCATCATTGCTAGAAGTCGGCCTCTTTCCAGTGTTCTTATTTTCTTTGTGGCAGGGAAAGTTGCATTTCAATTTGAATAAGGTAGATTCGAGATGAATATCTGTAGCATGCAAGCCGAAGACAGAACGTAATGCCAAGGTAAGTTAGAATTGCGCTGATATACAGGGATACTCTACTACGCGTAGCAGACGCCTTCTGTATACCCTGGATGTTCATTACCGTTTTCACAACAGTTCCTCACTGGCCTCTTTGCTGAGCTAGATGAACGTAAAGGGTAAAGCTATCCCTGTAACAGGCCGTGAAGGCCCATACGACTGTGTGACGTCGAGGCTCACACATTTTCTACACAATCGGCTCACAGATACCGGTAAGGCTGTTACCCTCTCGCGCCGGCCTCCCTTTGCTCGTAAGAAATATTCCTGGTACTCATTTCTGTTAGAGGCTAAGTCGACCCCACGACCACAGTGTGGTTGGAAGGATTAGGTCAATTGAAAAATTCTGTGATCTCATTGGGAATCGAACCCGCGACCTTTCGGCTTGTAGCATAGTGCCTCGACCAAGAACGCTACTGTGTGCCCCCACCTGCATATAGACTTCCTATGTATTTAACATCTACTTCAATATTTTCCTGACGTTCACCCCTAGGTCTTCCAAGTGCCCGTCTTCCTTTTAAGAGATTCCGACAAAAAGTATGTATAGGTTGGCCATGCTACATGCCCTGCCGATTTCAGTACTATTCTCATAATAACACTGGACGCTGTATAGTCTGGGTGACTGACGGTGTCGTTAAACAAACTACAAATTAATAAATACAGGGTGCGTGAATGTTTTATTTATTTATGTAGTTATTCGTGTGTAGTTTATGTAACAACGATTTCGGTATCTTGGATCATGCTGAAACATAATACAATACGTCGGCCTGACTGAGCCATGAAGGCGGATGGTGGCCAAGGGTGAAGGAAGAGCAATGGAGGCGGGCCACACTGCTGGTAGGTCAAGTGGTCGTAGCCTGATTTGAGCTTCTGTGCTGGTACTTGGCTGAAGTGACTGAGGAAAACTAAACTGCGAATTGTCAGGATAACTGAGATGGTTAGATAATGGTTCTGACTTGTAATTCGGAAGTGACCGTTTCGAATCTCGGCTGAGACACCGACTAACCTGGCTTACGTTTTTTCGTGCTTTTCCCCAGTACCGCGTTTCGAATTTCGGAATTGTGTCTTGAAGTAGGCAACGACCGCATCCTTGCACATCCTTTTAAATTTAATATCAATGTATCATCCTAGCACTGGACGTTATATGGCCTCAGCTACTGACAGTCTCGGTAAGTGCAACTTGAATACAGTAAAGCCTCGCTAAGCCGGTTACAGTTAATCCGGATTTCGGATAATCTGGCTCGAAATACTAAAAAATGAAAAACTGCTGTTCACAGGTGAGAGCACACTTTAAAAAACACGTGGCATTTGGGAAGGCAGACGAGTCGTTTGTCTGTTCAGACGGTTTCTTCAAACCTGCATTATGACGTTCAAAAACATGTACAACTTCTGAGTCTTCTATTCTTCTTAAATAAAGGCTGTACAGTAATATTTTGTTATTTATTTTCGTCGGAATAATATTTATCATTAAATTTTCCATTTATAGTTGTGTTCCAAATTTGTCTTCGTCTTTTAGGGCTACCTTTCCCTTCACTAATCCGGAATACCCCTCGCCCCCTATAACCCTCGATTAGCGAGGGTTTGTTGTGAGTAAATCAGTCAGAAACACCGGTCCTCGGATCGAAGTTAGAACACGAAGCCTTCGACGGCTACGCTCTGTAATTCCGGTCTTAAGAACTGGTACTTGTGCCGCTTTTCTACCAAACGCCACAATTTCTGAATCAATAGCAGATGACCAGATTTGACCTTACTCAAAGGAGCAGTAAAGCCAAGCGTTACGTTGCTGATGATCCATAACCTCACTTTATGTTGCTTTGCAGCAGCGGCTGTGCAGGGGTGGTGCCCGAGGTGAAGCCGGTGGGTGGGAAGCCGGCCCCCCTTCTGAGGTCTCGCACCCTGCCGGCCATCGTCGTGCCGGGTCTCAGCATTCTCCAGGCGCAGATCGACGCCAGATACAAACACGGTGAGTATCTCATTGCACGCCACTGGCACCTACCGTGAACCTCGCCGTCCCATCCTATTACTTCAAGATGCGTCTAATGTTATCCTCCCATCTATACTTAGGTCTTCTCTTCACACTTTCCGACCAATGTTGCTTATAAGCGGCTAGTCGTCGGCTTGTCACCGCTACGGTCCGGGTTCGAGCCCAGGTCAGGTTATGTGGCATTTGTAATGGACAAAGCGGCACTGGAGCTGGTATGTCTCCCAGTTTCTTCGGTTTTCTACTTGACTGGGAGTAAAGAGCGGCCGGCGCGTAAGGCTAACTACCTCACCTCCATTTGTGGCTCGATTGTATAGAGAAAATGTGGGAGCCTCGACGTCTCACAACCCTATGGGCCTCCACTGCCTGTTACAGGAATAGCTTTACCTTTTTTAATGGTCATTAAACCATTGCTCCATTCATTCAACAAAGTCCCACTCCCGCGGTGTGCGATAAACGTGATCAGGCAGCACATTATCACACCCTCGGTATTTAAGTTGGGGGACTTCATCACTGAGCCAACACTTGGCAGGTTACCGAATGGGGACTTTTCATCCATCCATCAGTGGCTCCACAGTCGTTTACAGGGCCCTGCCCGCTTTTCCAGTTTCGTAATCTTATACACAGTCGGTAGGACTCCTTGGACGGGGGATCAGCTCGTTTCAAGGCCGCTATCTAACTCAAAATAGCACAAACCGTCGTCGATGCCTCGAGTGGGTTTCGAACCTGCTACCCCGGTGTTCGAGTTCGCTAAGACAGTTCATGCGTCAGACCGCGTGGCCTCAGTGATCGGCGAATTGGAACTTTAGCTTATTTAATTTCAGAACACCTCCCCCAGTAATTGATCGGGCCCTCGCAGTGGGTGTGTGTCGGGTCTCGCGATCTGCCTGATCTGTCAGCCATGTATCACACATACTGTCATAATCCTGATTACTCTCTAATTGCTGACAGCGACGGTCTTCGATACAGCTCAATCGCAACGCAGCGAGCTGACGTGCAGCTCCAGTTGGGAGCAACAGCGGTCTAAGTCGCTTTCGGACCGCACTTGCCTTCCTTATTCGCGTATTTCTTAACGAAAACTTTTATTTCGATGGTTTATAATATTGTCACATATAGACCCATTGCTACACAGTGACTCTGTGAACAACAAACGTTTCTGGGCAACGACTCGTTAAAGAAGTTCCCGCGGCAACGAATACTCACTCATCAATAGAGTTAATGTTGAAAACGAGTGTTTTATATGTGGTCGGTTCCGATATGTTATAAGCAAGGGACAAAGTTAGTTGTTAGGAAGTTCTGTAAGGGAGGTTGTGAATAAAGGACTTGAGCTCGTGAAGCTGAAGAATCTCTACTGTTAGAAACCGTTGCCAGGGAACGGTAGGTGAAGACTTTCAGAGGAATAGCCATTGTTGAGACCTGTTACCAAGCAACGACTAGCGAAAGCGGACTTAGAAGGTTTTTAGTGTGGAAATCAGCAGTACTGTTATAGTTCTTTGTAATTACGACAGGTAAGTGGTCAATAAATCCAACTAGCAATCCAAACGCCGTCTGTAGTCACTAATACATGCGGCAATAAGTCGTGCGGTTTTCGAGACAGTTAAAGGAAAGGGAGCCATACCTGCGTTCCGTAACATATTGTGGAACTTTGGTCCGGAGGCGCAGCTAAATAAAGCCGATGGCGTGCATTGAAGCAGCAAATGTGACCTCGATATTGATATTTTTATGCTGAGAGCAGCATCCAGTTAGCTCCGAGCCAAACCTATAAATGCCAATACATACGGCTTCAGATGTCTACCGTATAAATGTGTTTGTGGCATTTGGGATTGCCACTTCTGTGACTATGTTGAACACCGTCTTCTCGGTTGTAGCGCTGCTTAGTTCGAAGAGAACTTGACAATTAGTACTTGTGTCTGTGTAATTAGGTGCTTGTTAGCGCCTGCTCACGCTGGTTCCTCGCTCGCGGATTTTCTTCTTTTTTCTTTACCCTGAAGATGGAGGCTATACGTTCCTCCGAAACGTCGGTTAACATAATATCTACACGGCGCCACATCCCAGACGACTCTTTTCTTCATAGCCACCTCCGTGAAAACCTCAAATCTTGCATAAGTATATGTTGCTGTCTCGTCACCAAAATGCACGACAAAATCATGACATAAAGACAGCTAACAGACGTTTTGAAATTGTGGCACGGTTCAGATATTTATTTTTTATTTATTATTATTTACTGCAATTGGGCTTATGCCCGGTGGCAGTGTTTACAAAAGCGGACATACATTCAACAAAGATACATCACATACGTCTCAAGAAATAATTTTCACAGTACAGTACAAGTACAATGACCTAATACAAGTACACTTCACTTCTCTTCACTTCACTTGCTCTACTGATTTTGCTTTCCTAACCTTCTTTCTAAATATATGCGCTTTAACGGGGTGAGTCCCAATCACCCCTTCAGGTAACTGGTTCCAGTCAGCAATGGTCCTGTTCACAAAGGAAAACTTCCCGACATCTGTTCTTATTTTTCTGGCTCTTATTTTCCTAAGGTGATCGACTCTACTCACGTAGTGTGGCGCCTGCAATCTGTCCCCTATATCTTTCCACACCCTGTCACCGTTATATGCTTTATAAAGTGCGCACATCCGTGCTATCATCCTACGCTGCGCCAAAGATTCCCAGACCGAGCCATCTGTCTAATGGGCAAATTTAGCAGCTTTATTTTGAACGCGGTCTAAAGCAGTGATCTGACATTCCCTGTATGGATCCCAGCACGCCGCCCCATATTCGAGAATGGGACGTACTAGCGACGTGTAGGCTAAACTTTTGGTATTTTTATTACCCCTTTTCACAATACGCATTACGAAATGTAGTGCCCTCCAGGCTTTTCGGACCGTGTAATTTACCTGGTCAGCCCAGCTTAAATCACTTCGTATGATAATTCCCAAATATTTGCAAAAGCTAGCTTCAGGAATATTTTGGTCTCCAAGAGAGTAATTTAACGGATCCTTCGTCCGTGCTCTCGTGAAGCTTATTGCCTTACTTTTATTCGGATTTATTTTCATTTCATTTTCTACTGCCCAGTTTCCCAATCTATCCAGATCTGTCTGTAATTTTTCTGTATCCTTGACATTTAATATTTTCCTATATACTATACAGTCATCTGCGAAAAGTCTAATTTTTGATTCAATGTTCCTCCATATATCGTTTACATAAGCTAGGAACAAAAGTGGGCCCAGAACGCTCCCTTGAGGTACACCTGATGTCACTCTAACTTCCTCTGAGTATTGCCTCCCTACTCTAACTCTCTGGGAACGACCTATCAGAAATTCCCTAATCCATACGACTACCCTTGAGTCCACGCCCGATGCTGCAATTTTATTTAGCAGCCGGTCATGAGGAACAACATCAAACGCTTTCGAAAAATCTATTATAATCGCGTCCAGCCTGACTGCTTCATCTAGGGCGTCTGATATGTCCTGACAGACTGTGATTATTTGACTCTCGCACGAGTATCCCGGTCTGAAGCCGTGTTGCCCCTCGTACAGCCAATCACTCTCTTCCCACACTTTTCTTAAATATGCCGCTATGACGTGTTCCATTTGTTTGCACGCCACTGAGGTTAAAGTGACCGGCCTGTAATTTTTGACTATGGAACGATCGCCTCCCTTGTAAACAGGAACCACTACGGCCTTTTTCCAGTCACTTGGTATAATGCCGTTGTTAATCGTTACGTCTAGCAATCGCGCCAGGTACGGAATCATGGCTTCCCCACCCATTTTCAGAATTTCACCAGGAATACAGTCTGGCCCCACTGATTTCTTCCTCCCTGTCATTGCCAACCGCTTCCTAATAATGCTAATGTTAATGGTGAAAGGGTTTTCCGAGTAAGTTGGATTTATTTCCGGGATGTCCCGCTCGCAGCTGAAGACAGAAGCATAATAATTGTTTAAATTATTTGCCTTCCCTACGGGATNGAGGGCATGTAGCAGGAACGGTGAGGATATATAGGATACTGGTGGGAAAGTCAGAAGGTAGGAAGACCAAGCCATTAGTGAATGGACAATATTAAAATGGATCTTAGAGCGATAGGATGGGATTGTATGGACTGGATTGATCTGGCTCAGGATAGGAACCAGTGGAGGACTGTTGTGAACACGGCAATGAACCTTCGGGTTTCATGAAAGGCTGCGAAGTTGTTGAGTATCTGCACAATTGGCGGCTTCTCAAGAAGGGCTCAGCTCCGTGTGTGAGTGAGGGGTTAAGCCAGTCCTGCAGTTGCTCTGTAAACATTTCCTGACGCATCCCCGCGATCTGGCGTCGCCAGTCCGTCAGTCGATAAGTACTGTCCAGCTTCGAGAGGCTGAACTAATGAAAGCGTTTGCGAACCCAAGGTATGCAGCATGTGCCCGGCCCTGACCTGTACAGGCACCGCTGTTAGCTTCTATTGCAATGAGTCGTTATATAATGCTGAATTGAAAAGACCTCTTGAGAGACCTAGGAATAAATGGGAGGATACTATTAAAATGGAACTTGTTTGTGAACATGGTAATGTACCTCTGTGTTCTATAAAATTTTGGGTATTTCTGAGTAACTGCTGAGTCCCCAAAAAGGACATTGGCTCGCGGATTTACGTTAATGAAGTGAGTTAAGTCGAGACGGTTACTTTAGTCTGAAGTGCGGTGCCGTCTTTCGGGCTACGGCAATATTTCGTCTCTTAAATAAGTACCAGCGTTTCGGAGGAACTTGAAGTCACCATCTTCAAGGTTGAATACAGTGTCTATCTCGCTTACACGTGTACAGGAATGTGGCTGCTACACTCGCAGACACAACTCATGAGACGCGGAGGAGAGTGCACAGAAAAACAGCGATCTTTATATCATTTCTTTTTCGGCTTCACCTTCTGTTGTCTTTATCCTTTCTCTTTTCACCTTTACTTTCATTATCTTCCAATTTTTCCTCGTCTCTGCTTCTGCTTCCATATCTAG